GAACCGGTGACCTCAGAGGTCAGGTCAAACATTCGAAGCCGAGCCAATCTCAGTTCACTGGAGACGGAGCTCTTGCGGACGCTACAAGCCAATCAAAACGGGCAAATCATTGTCAAACTGAGTTAGGACAGTAAAAATTGCCCTAAACTTGACCTTAAGCGAAAAACGGCAATCTAAGATCATCCTAGATCAGTTATTTCAAATGACCTCGGATGACCTTGACACATGGCGAGTATTCTGGCATCCATTTTGCTCTTAATAATCACCTTGAGGCACAAACTCGCAAAAAAATTAATAACAACCATTTAATTGACCTCAAATATGCTCAGAAAACTAGAAACCTGCCCCTATGAAGCGAGACCTTGTGTGACCTTGACCTTGAGTGAACTGTATATGGTGTAGGGTACTGCAGATTAAAGGTTTCGTGGTGATCTGCCGCGTTTTACGCAAGTTTTTCGCGAAAAATTGCGGAGGGGGTCCGTTCAGCCCCCCCCCCCCCGTCAAGTGCCAGGGTTAAAATAACAAACGACTTTTTGTGCGTGCAAACCTAAAACCCTGAAGTGAACGTCAGCCATTTATTTCAATAGCATGAAACACAGGAACAAAACAAAAGACCCTCATGCCGCGGATCTACGACTTGTTTGAGTTTACCAGAACTCTAAAGGTCCCGCATCAACCAAAGTGGAGACACTGGGTCTGTCAATGCTCTCAACTCATCAACCAGCTGTTGTTGTTGTTGTGTTTCCCCTGGCTACCGCCGGAGCGGCAGCGTAGCCGGTAATCAGTTCTTATGGGCCATGTAGCCAGCGGCCAAGGCCGCCACCACATCGTCGCGGCGGACGTCGTGGGCCGCGCCGATGATGTTGCCCAGCGCACGGAGCCGGGGGCCGTACAGGCACGGGCACTCCAGCAGCACGTGCGCCGGGGTGTCCGCTGCTTCAGAGCAGACCAGGCAGCGGCCCGCTGGACACTCCTTGTCCTCGCATTGGGCGCACTCAGTCGATGATCTGCGTCCAATCCGGTGGAGGTACTATAAGTCGACGGCCTCCTCCCTGGTGGCGGTCCGGACCGGGGCGGGGGCGCGGCCCCCATGACGGTGCGGTACCAGCCGGCTGGCCAATCCGCCCGCCACTTCCTCCTGGTGGACCGCGCGACAACCCGCGTGGGGGTGCGGACGTCAACCGGGGTAGACTGCTGGGGCAGAACGGCGGCCTCTTTGGCCAGGGCGTCCGCTCTCTCATTACCGGCGAGTCCACAGTGTGCCGGGACCCATTGCAGCGTAACCGTGCTGCCGTCGGCCGTCACGCGCTGGAGCTGGGCCCACAGCCTGGCGCCTAGTGTCGAAGCCTGGGCCGAAGCGCCAGGAGCAGCAGAGCCGCCTTCGAGTCAAGACAGGCGACTGCAGGCACTCCTCTGCAGCCCGGCAGCTCGGCGGCCGCCTCCAGAGCCGCCAGCAGCGCGGTGAGCTCCGCGCGGGTGCTGGAGCAGAAGCAGCCAGCCGGCACCGCACCTCCAGTTCATCTCCATTTGGTGGGTGGAGCAGCGCGTCGCCACTGCCGTTCTCCACGCCACCCTCCGCCGAGCCGTCCGACCAGACCCAGACGGCCTCGGGTAGGAGCTCTCGAATGCGCTCCTCCGCCGCGGCGCGGCGGGTCTCTACAGATGCCGCGCGGCTGGCCCGCGGACCGAGGTCCAGGTAGAATCTGGGTGCTGTCGGTCCACAGCGGAAGGGAGTGATGGAGGCGGGCCTCCACTGGGGCGTCTCGGGCCCCCACCGCTGAGAGCGCAGCCAGCCCCACCTCTCTCCATCCCTCGGTGGTGCGGAGTCGGCGCGGAGCGACCGTTTCGCCCACTGTCCTCAGCGGGTCGGCCTCCGGGAGGGACGCAGCGAGGCCCACCATTCTTGCCGCTAGGGTCACGCGGCGGGACCGCGCGTCCGCAATCCCGGCCTCCGACATCAGGGCGTGGACGGGCGTGGACGCTGTGCAGCCTGTCACAGCACGGGCCGCGGCGCGCAGCTCTCTTGCTATGAGCTCCACGTGCGTTGGGGGGGGGGGGGTCGACGGCAGCCAGGCGGCTGCAGAGCGCCCCCCCCCCCTCCTGACGTAACCTTTGCTACCGTCCTTAGTTGCCGCTCCTCCAGACCCCACGAGCGTCCTATCAACTTCCTGAGCTGGGCTACCCTGAGCCTGACTTTGCGGCGGAGTTCCGCACAGTGTGGACCAAAGTGCAGCAGGCGGTCGAACGTTACTCCCAGGAGGCGGAGTTTGGGATCCGCCTTCACCGGGCGAGACGAGCTCGACCAGCTCATCAACCAGCTCGAACTGCACCCGGTACCACCTCTACACATCGTCTATGTCCGCATCGTCGTCGAGACCATCACCGATTCCTTCCTCAGTTCTCATCAGTGAGCGAGCTATCTTGTCTCTACATTTTTCTTCCTAGTCCTCCTCATGTTCTGAAAAAAGCAGTTGGTTACCAGTGTGGAGAGAGAGAGAGAGAGAGAGAGAGAGAGAGAGAGAGAGAGAGAGAGAGAGAGAGAGAGAGAAAGAGAGAGAGAGAGAGAGAGAGAGAGAGAGAGAGAGAGAGAGAGAGAGAGAGAGAGAGAGAGAGAGAGAGAGAGAGAGAGAGAGAGAGAGAGAGAGAGAGCGTAACGTATTTGCTGCTAAATATTATTCAGGGGCGTAGCCAAGGGGGGGGGGGGGCACAGGGGCAATGGTCCCCCTTGAGCCCAAAAAGGCCCCCATCGCATTGTCAAAAGTACGGTAAAGGGCATAATAAAATAGCGTAAGTAGAATGAAATATGAAAAACAAACTATGCGATAGTGCAAAATTAAACCGTCGTTGTAGTTACCTACTCAGTGGCGGTCGCTGGGGGGAGTTTCAGGGTCATTACCACCCCCAAGGCAAATCAGGGCGGGCCATCATATGATCTGCACCCCCCCCCCCCCCCCCAACAACTGATGGGCCCCCGGGGCCGTGGCCCTTTTTCGATTGTCACGAGGCTCAAGGAACCCACGCCAGCTATTCAGCTCCCATCCCGGTCTTTGGGGTCCTATGCTGACCTCTGAGGGCCCTTCAGTGGCGGTAAGGCGTCCACATTCACCACTGAGGGCTCATATCGACCTGAGGGCCCTCCACTGACCTTTGAGGGCCCCTAAACCGGCCTCAGGAGGCCCCAACTGGCGTCTGAGGGCCTCTAGCGTCTGTTGGCATCATTTCTGTTTCTGTGGTCCAAAGAAACACATTTAGGTGCCTCTGAGGGCCCCATACTGACTTCTGAAGACCCGGTGCCGGCTTCTAATGGCCCGCATTGGCCTGAGGACCCATCTTGGCCTTTGAGGGCCCTCTGCTGGACTCTGGGTCCAACGCTGGCCCATGCTGGTCTTTTAGGGCCCCACACTGACCTCTGAGGGTCCCATTGCTGGCCTGTAGGACTAGTTACCCACATAAGTCTCTTAGTTGAGGGCCCAAGTCGGCCTCTGATGGCCTCAAATTGCCCTTTGAAAGCCCTGTACTGGCCTCTGATGGCCCTAAATTGGCCTCTGAGGGCCCAAACCGGCCTCTAAAGGTCCCACATCGGCCTCTGATGGCCCCGTTTCTGTGTCTAGGACCCAAGACTGACCCTTATGTGCCTCTGATGACCCCCAGGTGGATGGGAGGGGTCTAACGGTATGTACACAAAATCAAGGTGTAAATGATATGCATATTTTATTGTAGAACATCTGAGGGACCCTCTGTTAAATAAACCGTTATTTGCGTTAGGACCCTTTTTGGACCGAGAGGGCCCTCTGTCGGTCTGAGGGACACTCGACGGCCTGAGGGACCCTTTGTTCGTCCGAGGGGTCTCTATTAAGTGGAGGGGCTTTCCCCACCTGAGGAGGTCCTCTATCGACATGAGGGGCTTCTGTTAGTCTCAGGGGCCTCTCCCGACCTGTGAGAGACCGTCCGCTGTTTTGAGGGCCCCTGCCGGTCTATGGGGCCCTCGATCGACCTAAGAGAGCCCTCTGTTCACTTGAGCGGCCCTCTTTTGATCTGTTGGTTTCCGACTGTTGGTCTGACCCCGTGTCGTCGGTTTGAGGGATCTCAGATCGGATCCACTGTCGATCCGAGGGGCCACTATCGGTTTGAGGAGGCCCTCAAATGACCTGAACGGGCCCTTAGTTTGTCTGAGAGGGCCCTCCGTCGGTCCGACGGTGCCCTCTGCAAGTGCAAGGGGGGCTTTTGTCAGTCTGAGTGGCACTTAGACGGCTTACATGACCCTCAGACGGCTTACGAGGCTCTCATGGGCTGTAGGGGCCTTTGACGGTCTGAAGGACACTCATCCGACCTACGGGGCCCTCACTCCTCAGTCCGCCTTCAGAACCGGCTGAGCGACTCTGTGAAGCTATTCGTGGACCTATCTAGGAGGGGCCCATGGACTAATTGCCCCCTCGATTCTAACATTTTTTTCATTTTTTGAATAAACATTTTTCATTTTTTTGGGGCCCCTTCCAAAAAATAGTGGATGAAATCCGCTGACTTTTTGGAATTTGAGGGGGTTACCTTGAGCCCCTGTAAGTTTACCCCCCCCCCCCCCCTTGAGGAAATTCTGGCTACGCCCCTGATATTATCCAATCGGCTTTTAGCTCCATCTATGACATACTCCTAACCGCCCCATTAGTAGCATGGGGGCATGAACGTACTCCTCCCCTCCCCCAGGCCATTATGCAACGCTCCGGAGTAAGAAACGGTACGTCCTCACAAAGCATCATAGGTATCTTTTATTTGAAGTGGACTTGGAAGGTCCACGTTAGGTCCACCTATGTTCTAACGTCCACCGTTTAACGAAAAAGACGCTCAATTTGTCCACAGATGTTTAAAAAAGGTGACAAAGTGCTACTACCTATGAAATTTATTTTCAAAACTTCAAAATTATTTGATTCCTTTTTAATCACCAATTGAAAGAAAAACAAACATTATGAATTGCATGCACATTAGGGGAAGGGGTATGTTGTGACTTGTTTTGATTTAGTTGCGGTGATCGGACGAGTATCTCACAAAAATAGGCGTTTGCGGCGAACCCCGATGCGGTGATTGTATCAGCGACATTTTGCCACGAGGGAGTTGCCGAGAATGAGCCGGCACTGATCTATTTGTGTGAAATGGAAGGTGAAAGGTCAGTATTTTTGATTATTGTGCCACTGACAATGATGAGCAGTTGGCCGTGCATAGTAAACTGATAACTGTGGCTAGAAAACTGATATATCGTAGACATTATGTTCGTTGCGGCAATAGTGGCGCGAGTTCCACGTGCCATTGGGGCTGATATTGCTAATTTAGATTATTTACTTTGTATTTCAGCCTTAGATATAGCACATTGTAAAAACTGGTACATTTCCTCGTGCATTTGGGCAGTGGCAGGAGTAATAGGTTGTACTGTTGTGTGTCACCAGCTGAGCGTGATCCAGCTGAGGCACCAGACGGGAGCCAGTCGAGTGTGAGCCGACTGGCCACTTGTCTCACCGCTGCGCCAAAACACATCTGGTCAGTAATTACTATCTTTATTTGTAACAGAACAAATGCCAGTTGTAACTCGTCATTTCTGCTGATTGAATTTATTTGCATTCATTCTGGCAGATGTGCATTTGTATCCGCATTTCATACAATGTGTGAACTGTCCGCATCAATGTCCGCATTTGATCCTTGGTTATGTTGTATGTGTGATTATTGGTTGTTCTTTTGCAGAAAACCACTCTTTGGACTCTTTCTGCACACATATGCTCTGGCTTGCTATCATGTTCCACAATACCATGTCTTTCCTATGTACCTTTTTGTTTCTTTTATTTAGTTGTGCAGGCAAGAGTGCGTTGACAGAGTTTTGGCACGGCAGAGGTGGGCACAGTTTTCAGATGTGTTTCGTCAAGTCGTCAGAAGTTCTCTGAAGTTGTTTGGTCTGATGACGTCAAGTTGAGTTGTACACTACTCAAGTAAGAAACATGTCTGCTCTCAAGAACGAACGTGCCATGAAGAAGGGTGCACTGACACGAACAAGAAGAAGAGCGTTTGTTCTGATCGACACTCGTGGTAGCAAAAGAGAGCTGCATGCAGTGTTGAAGGAGCTGGACAATGCTCTACAAGATGTTCTGGAGAAGAACATGGAATACAAGATGAGCTCTGAAGATGATGATCACCAGAAGAAGTGTGATGAATACGAGCAAGAGGCCACTGAGGAGCACAGGATTGCCCAGGAACGAGTGGCAAGTCACCTGCAAGAACGAGCGGGAGAAACTCCATCAGCAACAACTGACAGGTCATCTGCTGCTTCAAAGGCTCGGGTGCAGCATACTACCAGAATGGCAGAAGTTGAGGATAAGGTACGTGAGCTGGAGTTACAGCAGCTGCAACATCGCCTCGAGAGAGAGGAGGAAGAACAGAAGATGCAGCGAGCAAGACAACTGCAAGAGAAACAAGATGCCCTGCAGGCTGCTCGTCTTAAGACAGAGTTAACCAAGGCAGCTGAAAGTGAGCTGACATGGGACAGGAAAGAAGACTTCAATGAAGAGAATGAGAGACGTCCAGAAGGAAACCAGAAGAGAGATGAAGAACACAGAACAGACCTTCCTGTACCTAATCCCAACCCTGATCCTGCCAGCCAACTGTTCCGACAGAGCCTGCCTCGTCTCAGGCTTCCCACTTTCAGCGGAGCAGTGGAGGAGTTTCCAAGATGGTACTCGATCTTCTCAACACTGGTGGAGCAGCAGAATCTGAGTGCCAATGAGAAGATGGCACATCTGCAGAATGCAGTCACTGGAGCAGCAAGAGCCATCATCGGAGGGATGGTGTGTGATGGAAGTTCCTTTGAAGATGCTCTCCAAGCACTCAAAGAAAGGTATGGCAGAGACATTGATGTAGTTCAGATGACCCTCAAGACTGTGTTTTCGTGTCCAGCTCCCAAGCCGTTCGATGCCAGATCTCTGGAGAGATATTATGGAGCAGTTCATGGTGCTACAACTACATTGAAGAGACTGGGATATGAGGGTGACCTGCAGTCTTGTGAGAACCTGCGTCGTCTCCTGAGCAAACTGCCAGTTGATATGCGGAAAGCGTGGGCTGAACACTCCCTGGGACTGGTGCGACCTACCCTGCTGGAGTTCGACCAGTGGCTCCGTCTGCAGCTGCGCATCCAGCTGAGCTGTGAGGCAGCTGCGCCTGCACCCAGTCAGCAGAAGAGGACAGCTGGGATGTTCCTCACCACGAAGACGGCAAGCACCTCAGGTGAGAAGAGATGTGTCCTCTGTGGTGAAAGTCATGGGCTGTGGGCTTGCGAGCAGTTCAAGGCACTGACTGCTGATGAGCGTGCGCGAGTTGTGGCTGAGCACCGACTGTGTTTCAGCTGCCTGCGGCCGGGCCATCGGAGCAGAGATTGCAGAACAGCTCGAGCCTGCGGCATCGATGGTTGCGTGCTTCGACACAGCCGGTATCTGCATGGGAGCAGGAGGATCAGGAGGCTGCAGCCCGGTTCGCCGCCCCCCTCAGGAACGGAGACGACGACCGGCGAGATCACCATAGCGTCGGTCCGACGGGAGGAACAAGATGCGTGTCACGTCCTGTTGCAGGTCGTACCTGTACGTGTCCATGGTCCCGCTGGACGGTACAAGGACACACTGGCGCTTCTCGACCCTGGGGCACAGACGTCGCTCTGCAATGCGTCTGTCCTAGACGAGCTTCAAGTTGAAGGCGAGGTTCAGCCGGTTCGACTGAGCAACGTAGAAGCTGCGGGCCGTGAGAGGCTGTCCAGGCGGACGACTCTTGAACTGTCACCGCTGGCAAGCACTGAAGATCCGTCGAAGAGGATTCTAGTGCCAGAGATCTTCTCCGTGGACAGGGTCAACGTAAGAACTCCCACGATCCGAGGCAAGAACGTGTCGAAGTTCAAGCACCTGGAAGGACTGAAGATTCCAGACATCTCCAGTGGCACGGTCGAGGTGCTACTGGGAGCCAACGTGCTCGAAGCGGTACTCCAGCGCGAGGCGCGTGTCGGTGCACCAGGAGAGCCTGTGGCCATCCGAACGGCTTTTGGATGGTCCTTGACTGGTTCACTGACTGGTGTAGTGCCTGAGCATGTTCGAGAGGTGATGTTTGTGTCAGCGTTTCGTGGTCAAGAACAGCATGACCTGTCGGACTGGTGGACTACAGAATCCTTCGGGACACGTGCCACCGAGCCCACGCTGACACCCGATGAGAAGAGGGCGATGGACATCCTGGAGAAGACTACTCAACACCGAGGAGACAAGTATGAAGTTGGTCTGCTATGGCGAGACGAAGAGGCCGAGCTCCCGGACAACTACACGATGGCGCACAGCAGGCTCAGGTCTCTGGAGCGCAACCTGGCGAAGAACCCAGAGAGAGCGGAAGCGTACAGAGAAGTGCTTGAGGGCTACGTACAACAAGGGTACGCGCGGAAGCTGACAGCTGAAGAGAGTCGAGTAAAGGAGAAAAAACGTTGGATTCTGCCTCACCACGCCGTGACACACCCAGAGAAGGTGAAGCCGCGCGTCGTGTTTGACGCGGCCGCCCAGTTTCAGGGTACCTCCCTGAACAGCGAGCTGTTGAAAGGTCCTGACCTCTTACAGAACCTGCATGGGGTCCTCTTGCGTTTCAGGCAGGAGCGGTACGCACTGGTGGCAGACGTCTTCCAGATGTTCCACCAGATCCAAGTGCGGACGGCGGACCAGCCAGCTCTGTCGTTTCTTTGGCGTGAGATGCAGACGTCAAGGCCACCGGACATCTACCAGATGTTAGTGGTGATCTTCGGCGCGAAGTGTAGTCCGTGCATCGCCAACTACATCCTGCGCCGAACGCTCGTTGAGGACAAGGAAGCAGAGAGACAGGGGGGTCATCCGACGCTGCTCGCCAACTTCTACGTCGACGACTTTCTCCGAGCGGAGGAAACCCCGGAAGCAGCTCTGGCAACGATGGAGAAAGTGACAGCGCTGATGTCTCGCGGAGGATTCCGACTAACGAAGTGGAGATCGAGTCACCCCGAACTTCTGGAGAGCATACCGGAAGATGATCGAGACGCATCACAGAAGCAGCTGGTGTCATGTGAAGGCGGAACACGGAAGGCGCTGGGCTGCGTGTGGTCTCCAGAGGAGGACACGCTAGGAATTCAAGTGCGTGCCGCTGATGTTCCAGCGACGAAGCGAGGTGTAGTGAAGATGGCGGCGTCGATCTTCGATCCCCTCGGTTTCATCTCGCCTGTCATGCTGGAAGCAAAGATTCTGATCCAGAAGTTGTGGGTGCTCAAGCTTGACTGGGATGAAGCGTTTTCAGGCTCTGAGCTGGCCATCTGGCGAAGTTGGCTGTTGGAGCTGAGTGAAGTGGAAACCATCAGAGTTCCAAGATGCCTGAAGACGTCTATCACGAAGGAAGTCAAGAACATGCAACTACATTTGTTCTCAGATGCGTCCGAGAACGCGTTTGGTGCAGTGGCATACGTCCGGATGACGGACGCCGACGGACACCACACAGTCAGCATGATCATGTCACGGACTCGAGTGGCGCCGCTCAAGCAGCTCTCGATAGTCCGTCTTGAGCTTCAGGCCGCCGTGCTGGCCACGCGACTGGCCAGGACTATTCAAGAGGAGTTGACGTACGTGTTTGATGATGTGCTATTCTGGTCGGACAGCCAGGTCGTCTTGCAGTTCGTGACCAATGAAAGCCGGTTGTTTCAGACGTTTGTGGCCAATAGGGTGGCCGAGATCCGGGACTCTACGTCGCCATCTCAATGGAGACACGTGCCCGGGACGCAGAACCCGGCGGACATCTGTTCCAGAGGACGATCGGCATCGCAACTGAAGGATTCGGTCCTGTGGTGGAGCGGGCCGGCATTCCTCTGCCAGGATCGAAGTACCTGGCCGCACTTGGAGACGGGAAGCTTGTCTCCTGACGAGCCTGAGCTGAAGAAAGCAAAGAAGACGACGGTGACGCCTGTCGTGGGACTGGTCTGCGGACCAGATGCCAACGATGTACCTCCACTGCTGGTGGATCCAGCACACTTCTCATCGTGGAACAAGTACCGGCGCGTTGTGACCTGGATCTACCGATTTATCAACAACGCGAGAGAGCCTGACAAGAAGACGCGTGGCTCCCTGACAGCGCAAGAGCTGCTACAGTCAGAACATCAGATCATCCGCCAGGACCAGAAGGCGGTGAAGCTGGCGCCTCAGCCCGGTCTGTCCCTGTACGAGGACGACCAGGGCCTCCTGAGGGTGAGAGGGCGCCTGACGAACGCGCCTGCAGAGATGTGCCGTGAGCCGATCGTACTCGATCCAAACAGTGAAGTCACCCGACTGATCGTGACCGATGCGCACGAGCGGTGCATGCATGCTGGTGTAAACCACACACTGAACATCCTGAAGGAGAGGTTCTGGATGCCGAAAGCCAGAGCCACAGTGAAGAAATGGATCTGGCGGTGTGCGCACTGCCGGAACAGACGGGCCACTACCCTGTGCCCCAAGATGGCTGATCTCCCGAGTGAGAGATTCGACATCTCCCGACCGTTCTCGTCGGTGGGCTTGGACTTTTTTGGACCACTCCAGGTTAGAAAGTTCAGAAAAACCGAGAAGCGGTACATTCTCCTGGTGACCTGTTTGGCCACCAGAGCCGTCCACCTCGAGATCGCTGAAGGTTTAGATACCGATTCGTTTCTGATGGCACTGCGTCGCTTTATTGCACGACGGGGAAGACCAGCCAGGATCTGGTCCGACAACGGGACGAATCTCGTAGGTGGTGAGAGGGAACTGAGAGAAGCCATCTCCGAGTGGAACCAACAACAGATCTGTGACGCGCTAACCCAGAAAAATATCCAGTGGCGATTTAATCCCCCGACCGCCAGCCACATGGGCGGTGCGTGGGAGCGTCTTGTGGCTTCAGTGAAGAAGGCTCTCCGGTCGGTTCTGGGCAACCAGGTCGTTTCTGACGACGTCCTGCACACCACCGTCCTGGAAGTGGAGTTCCAGGTTAACTCCAGGCCCCTCACTTATGTCTCTGGCCATGGAGGGGACCCCGAAGCATTAACGCCGAACCATTTCCTGTTGGGGGTTGTGCCGAGCAGTTCTGTCTTCCCTCCGGGAGTCTTCGGAGAAGATGACACGATGTCCAGGAAGCGCTGGAGACAAAGTCAAGCACTTGCCAGTCAAGTATGGCGCAGGTGGCTCAGAGAGTACGTGCCGACCCTCATCTCCAGGAGGAAGTGGAACAGGGAGCAGAGGAACCTCGCTGTGAACGATGTTGTGCTGCTGGCCGCAGATGACACCCCGAGGGGATACTGGCCTCTGGGCGTAGTTGAAGAAGTGTACAAAAGTGGAGACGGTACAGTGCGTTCAGCGCTGGTGCGTACTGCCTCAGGATCATACAAGCGCCCATGTACCAAGATATGTCTCCTGGAGGGAGAGGCGCCTCTGAGTTGAAGACCAAGAAGAGAACGGCAGTCGCCGATGTCCAGCAGATAAACGCTTTGCTGGAGAATGATGTTTATTCTGTTATTGTACTCGCCATGTTTTTATTTCATTTATTTGTGTTGATTTATTTTGTCCGTTTTTCCTGTTCTTAACCCTGTGATCGTCCCTCCTCTGGTTGTCCTAGTGTCCTAACGTCGCAGCCATCGACGAGCGGCGGTGGCACCCCGAGGACGGACGACGACACGCCGCTGGGGGTACAGCGGCGTTCCGAGGGACGACACGCCGGTGGGGACAGCAGCGCTCTGATGACGACACGCCGCTGGGAGTACAGCGGCGCTCTGATGACGACACGTCGCTGGCAGTGCAGCGATTCCAGCGCGTGGACGCAAGATGCCGGCGGCGAGAGGCCCGCCGCTGCTGGTCGCGGCGGACTCAGCGCGCTGGCGGGGACTGACTCGCCGGTGGTCGCGACACACGAGCGCGGCTAGCCGGCAACGAGAGCGGCGGGCGGCGCGCGCCTGAGGCATGCGGCTTCGGAGCGGTGCGCCGCGAGCGACTGCTCCTGGTCCGGCCGTGATTTCGAGCGGCCCGCGCCGTGCTGAGCGGCGTCTGGCAGCCCTGATAGTGATTCGTGTTGTGCGCGGTCCGCGTTGTTCGGCCCGCTCCGGACACTGAGTGTGGTCCGAGGTGACATAAAGACAACGTGCTCGGCTGTGAAGGTGATATTTTGGTTGCGCCGTGATTGTGAGACGTTCTAAGCGATAGTTACTACCATCGGTACGCGGGTTTGCTGCTGCGCTGTTCGTACAGTTCGTACGGTGGATGATAGATGCTGGTCTCCAGTGATACGTGCCTCAGGAAGTTCAGGGAGTTTTCCTCCGAAAACTGGGGGGAGGATGTTGTGACTTGTTTTGATTTAGTTGCGGTGATCGGACGAGTATCTCACAAAAATAGGCGTTTGCGGCGAACCCCGATGCGGTGATTGTATCAGCGACATTTTGCCACGAGGGAGTTGCCGAGAATGAGCCGGCACTGATCTATTTGTGTGAAATGGAAGGTGAAAGGTCAGTATTTTTGATTATTGTGCCACTGACAATGATGAGCAGTTGGCCGTGCATAGTAAACTGATAACTGTGGCTAGAAAACTGATATATCGTAGACATTATGTTCGTTGCGGCAATAGTGGCGCGAGTTCCACGTGCCATTGGGGCTGATATTGCTAATTTAGATTATTTACTTTGTATTTCAGCCTTAGATATAGCACATTGTAAAAACTGGTACATTTCCTCGTGCATTTGGGCAGTGGCAGGAGTAATAGGTTGTACTGTTGTGTGTCACCAGCTGAGCGTGATCCAGCTGAGGCACCAGACGGGAGCCAGTCGAGTGTGAGCCGACTGGCCACTTGTCTCACCGCTGCGCCAAAACACATCTGGTCAGTAATTACTATCTTTATTTGTAACAGAACAAATGCCAGTTGTAACTCGTCATTTCTGCTGATTGAATTTATTTGCATTCATTCTGGCAGATGTGCATTTGTATCCGCATTTCATACAATGTGTGAACTGTCCGCATCAATGTCCGCATTTGATCCTTGGTTATGTTGTATGTGTGATTATTGGTTGTTCTTTTGCAGAAAACCACTCTTTGGACTCTTTCTGCACACATATGCTCTGGCTTGCTATCATGTTCCACAATACCATGTCTTTCCTATGTACCTTTTTGTTTCTTTTATTTAGTTGTGCAGGCAAGAGTGCGTTGACAGAGTTTTGGCACGGCAGAGGTGGGCACAGGGTATCTTTTATTTGAAGTGAACTTGGAAGGTCCACGTTAGGTCCATCTATGTTCCAACGTCCACCGATTAACGAAAAAGATGCCCAATTTGTCCACCGGTGAAAAATGGAAAGTTTACTACGTAAAAAATCGATTTTCAAAACTTTAACATTATTTGATTCCTTTTCATTCATCTCCAATTGAAAGAAAGGCAAACATTATAAATTGTAGCCGCATTATAGGGGGAGGGGGAAATTTCAACACCAACACGAACCACATTTTTATTCGCATTGTCACATTACCACTTCGTAGAGGTCCTTCCAAAAATGGGCAATAGAGCTTCTGCTGTTCAGGATATATAGCCGTTACATTTTGCACTATACATCTGTTATAATTTTAGACAAGTCCGAAAAGGGGGACTAAAGCGGAGCCATGGAACGAATTATCACGGAAGCATGAAGTTTGCTAACTGCGAGTGCAGGTGGTGACTGCCCAGGTAGGTACCTACAGGGGCGGCGCCACCGGGGGGCAGGGGGGGGGCAGCTGCCCCCTGGCGCGAGCCAGGGGGGCAAACATATCTTTTTGCCCCCCCCCCTGAAATTCTGGAGGCCCTTTTGCTGAAAGGCACAGGCCCCCTTCTTATCCTAGCATGACTGCCATCATAGACGTCCAGGCACGTACCCAGGATTTCGCCCAGGAGGGGGCCACCTGCTTTCGAAGGGGCCACCAGGTCACCCGGGGTCCCCGGGTAGGCGACCAGGGTCCCCCAGGCCCCCCGGGGCTCCCAGGCCTGGGGGCCTGGGAGCCCCTGGGTACATTTCCAGGCCCCCGGTCCCCCGGCGACCAGGCCCCCGACTACCAGAGGCCCCCTAGGCGACTAGGGGCCCCCAGGCGATCAGGGGTCCCATGCGACCAGAGGCCCCCATGCGACCAGGCCCCCCCCGGCTACCAGGCCCCTAGGCGACTAAAGGCCCCAGGCGGTGAGGGGCCCTCATGAGACCAGGCCCCCGGCTACCAGGGGCCCCCTAGGCGACCAGGGGCCAGAAAACCGGGCCCTTGGATGACTGCAGAGGCCCATCGGGTCATCAGGGGCCCCTCGGGTAACCAGGGGCACAAAAATGAAACTTTGATATCAATGTTTCTTCCGAGTAAAAGGACGTTTTATCCAGTATTAAAAAAAAAAAATATTCCGGGGCCTGAGGGACCCCAAGGCGCTCAGGGGGGGGGAGCATGGTGCCCGTGGCCCCCCTTGGGTACGTCACTGTAAGACGTCATTCCTGAAATGTCAGTTCTAGAATACCGGAAAAGAAAGCTCTCCGTATAGGTAGTTAGAACGAAGAGACCCCCTGTAAGTATTCTGCCGGTCAAGATAAGCCAACTGAGACCCTCGTTGTCGAGAGGCCCTTGTCAGCATGAGGAATGGAAATATCGATGCAACTTCTTGCTCACAGAAGGCCCCTGTTCTGAGGCCTGGGAACAAAAAAAAGGCAGTAGGCACCTTTCCTGCCCGGGCGAAACATCGTGGTTACAGGACGCTCCTGGTTCCAGACGCTTTCATTTCAGAAGCCCCTGTCAGCACGAGGAAAGCAAAACCTCAATGAAACAGCATCTCAATCAGAGAAGATTCCTTATCTGAAGCCAGGCCTCCGCGATTTTTTTTTTGAATTGTGTATTTGAACCTTCTGATTTAAAGGGACTGAGGTCAAAAAAACTTCCTACTCGCTTACATTGTAGGCGACAGAAGCTGACAGGCACCAGAGACATTTGGTGACAAAGTCACGAAAATGGTGAACGCACTGCATCGCATTTGTTGACGGCGTTTTCGCACACTGCTAGCGAACAGACTAACCAGCCAATCCGCGGCGAGAATAACCCTGAGCGAACCAATCGGATGCTGGTGACACGAGGGGACAACGCTGAGCTAACGCGCCAGCCGCCAGGGAGCCTTCACTGTGGATTTTGTAGGCCCCAGGAGCCAACGCATCAAAGATTTTGAGCGGGCCTTTTCGGCGCACGTCTATGAGAGGTATACCGTGATCATGAACACGTAGAAAAACAGGAGTGGACTCTCGCGAGTAGCGCTCAGTGCTTGTCCAATTTTCAAACAAGTTTGAATGCTTTCAAGAAAGGGACTGGCGCCGTGATGAAAGCTGAGTTGTTGTATTGTGGTTATGATTTTTTCTGTTTTAAGCAAGGCAGGACATAACACTGGAAGTAAGGAATCTTGGGTTGTCTAGTTTTGCTGGTTTAGGTACTTGTAAGTTGGATATAACAACGCTAGCCCGGTGGGCATCAAAAGCAAGGCTGTATGGATTTGTTGCCTGATTTTGAAACACTTGCCAAAGTTGTCAATGAATAGATGTTTTTACTGTTAATATGGACACAATTTTTATTTTGATTCTAATTTGTTGAGCCCTAGAAGAGCACAAATTTCAATTTTCATGAGCTGGTGGTAAAAGTATACCAGTCCAAGGACTCCGAAAAAATGTTGTAGGTTGGTATGTAGGTTGTAAGCTGGGAGGTTGTAGGCTGGTAGGTTTTCTGCTTTGTGTTGGTATGTTGTAGGTAGGTTGTAGGTTAGTAGTTATGTGAGTTTGGTTCAGGCTTAATTGTTTTTCCTTCATTCCGACTTCTACTCTTTTACTCTTGCCTAAAGTGTTTAAGAAGTCTGAATGAAAGAAAAACATCATTACCTAACCTAATCTTTCTTTCTACCCTACCTCCTATTACCTACCAGCCTACAGCCTATCTACCTTCTACCTTATACCTGTACCTACAAGTTACAACTTCCTTCCTTAAACCTGCCAACCGACAAGCTCCGAAGCATACAACCCACCTAGGCACCTACCTAGCACCTACACCTATTTTATTTTGACTTATTGTATATTAGTACCAAAAATATAATGCTTAGAATTTTGGTTTAACAATATTAGTGGCCTTGATGTGGAAAAGGAACCTTTTGCAACATGTTGCATAGGTAGGTATATTGTATTATACATAGGCACCTATTATTTGTTATGTCATAACAGGTGTGAAATCTCACCATATAGAACACAAATTTAAATGTATTATGGAAAAATGTAAAATAGAATGTCAGCAATTCTTAAATGCATCTGCACAAGATTAGTTACACATGCATTCAGTGTCCCAAAGTTGAGTTTTGGCTGGGGTGTCAGAGGGGGATATTATCCACCAAAAAGGGGTAGAGGGTGGAAACTGCTGGTTAGATTAGATACAAAAAGAGTGAGAAAAGATCAATAGCATTCATTTTTATCCATGAGTATCTATGATCATAAACCAACTCCAAGTATCCACACAACTCAGTCCACCACACCTGTCCACTTGTCCAAGTCCACCACACCTGAACTGCCTTTTGAGGTAACAAGGTGTTCTTGGCTGAGAGTGGTTAATTGCTCTTAGAAATTGGTAGTGAGAGTGGCAAATGAATCTCAGTATTTCCCACCCAAATCAACAAATTTTGGGACACTGTAATAATACATTATCCAGGTTTAGGGCCACACTAACATTGGCGACACTAACATTAACATTGGCCTGATGAATCCTAGAATTTTTCCAATTTTACCACCCTAGTGCAACACTTATCCGGCCTCCGGAGGCAGGGGACACAAAGGGGGTTGAAAAATTTTGTAGGTGACACAAAATAAGTTTTTTTGACCTCTGGACTATCCCACCTTCTAAAATGTTGTTAAAACCAGTT